TATCAGCCACAAATGTATCTTGCCAGCCATAATCAGTTTCCGAGTACGAGTACTGCCCAGTGAGTTTTTTTGCTGTTTAACATCTGTTTTTTTTTTAATTTTTGGATGTGTTTTGCTCCTGTGCTTTAGTCAATCCATTTTTCTCTAAAAGTAGGTCTGCTCAGCCATCTATAGTTTGCAACCGTTTGTTTTAGATTCCAAGATTTTCCATCCGGGAATGTTAGTCAAGCGCAAATTGTTCAACAGGATCAGGGAACGGCACATCGTCAGCAGCAGCGAGTTTACAGAGTTAGTTGTTCAATGAGATCACTGCAAGGCTCTCTCTGGCTTAAGAGCTTATCGTATTTTTAAGACTCAGAATGCTACGAATGCTGTATTTCAAACACCGCTTCCAACACCAACGACTGTTTATGTACAGAATGTCCCACAAGCTTCGCAAGCTCAGTACACATCTAATCAACCCACCGTTGGCGAGGTCGTACGGCAGCAGCATCAAGTTGGGCTTTCTCCGTGTTTCCCATGTCTTCCATATACAATAATTTCATCCTTCTTCCAGCTGCGGCATGTCACTGGAGCGCAACAAGTGATTGTGCAGCAAGTGGCTGCTCCACAAATGGTGGTTACAACTGGGGGTCAACCAGTGACTGGTGCACAAATTCGGACACAAATCGTTCAAAATTCCTCACTCCCTGCACAGATTGTTTTAGCACCAGCTTCGGTTCAGCAGACGCCGCATATGGTAACGTTTTTTTCAAATATGAATTTTTTGCGAGGAGAAAGAAGGGGGCTGAGTTAAATTTCTTTAGCAAAGGAGGCGTCATCGTGCGATAGAGTGAGCGCGAATCTTCTCCGTCGAAGGCGGGTCACATTGAACTTTTCACCCTCTTAGTGCAAGGGGACTTCGGCGGAGAGGATATGGGGAGGAAATATGCATTGTACAAATCCTTTGTCATCTTCTGTCTCCTTCTCTTCATCTTAATTCTACAAACAACAGAAAATCTTCAGTCAATCCTAAGCGAGCTGCTTGGACCTCAGAGAATCCTCCCTATTCCATCTTAGAAAGATCCTAAAATGCTTTCAGTTCCTTTCACTGCCCTTGTGCTGTTCTTGCCCAAAAGTTCCTTGCCACTGAAATGAAATCACAGTAGGAAGGACACATTTAGAATCCTCTTGTTCTCGCTTTGATTGGATGAAAATGTTTATGCTATGATGTCGAAGGCGGTTTTGATGTTTTCAGTGTATCCGACCATGATATAATGTACTCAATAACCTTTCAAAACTAAAATATGAGTTTACTACCAGCAATCCTGGACTGATCTTTTCTAGGTTGGGAAAAGTTATTGAGTACATTAGTACAGTAGTGATAAAATGATAGAAAATATTTATGCAAGAACTTACCAAAACCTCCGTTAAAAATTCTTTTTTGATTAGAAAACGAACCCGTTTTTATCTTTCCTTTAAACAAAGTATAGTACCACGTACGAGAAAGGGATTTTTTTATGATTTTCAAATTCAACTCATACTCTTCATTATCATTATTTCATTTCATAAGCATTTGCAAAAACAATTTTCTAAGTCTACATTCATTTTATTACCATGTA